ACCTTCAGTACATAAATATTGTGCAAGTTTGTCACGTAACACTTTTGCGTCACAACTATATGTGTTAGATTTTTGCCAACCACATTTATGTAAGTGTTTTTGCTCATCACGCCATTGTCCCAGATTGACTGAATGATCCGAATCTTCTGTGTCGACAAAACCTGTTGGACAGTATGTTGTGCTGCTTTCGGTTAAAAAAAAATTATGTAACACGAGGGAAGCAGCAACAATCAAAGTGATTAAAAAAAATTATTATAAATATCGTAAATAACAGTTTACAAATGCATATATACAGATATTTTTTGAAGGGGGACAATGGTCTTTACAATTTGAAATCGATCGAACACACTGTGCGCGAATGCTCGTGTAAACGCGCGCCATCTATCGTAGGATAAATGTACTTCGTGGGAGTGTATTAAAAAATTAAAAAACTTTCCAAACCTTCATGGCAATTGTACTATGCCACAAACCTTCGCTGGAGTATATTAAACAACTTTCCAAAGTTTCGTGGCAATTGGATAAACGGTGTGGTAATGCATAAAGGACACACAGACATACATTCATTTTTATTTAAAATTTAATTGAATTAACGGTACAGAAATTCAAATATTTTGTTTTCTATGAATGATTTTGCCTGAAGAGGAGACTTATATATTGATGAAAGTATTTGTAAAATAAATCTTTTTCCATAATGCCAATAGACACTTGTGTTGCTTACCTTGTTTTTATTCTGGTACTTATAAGTAATAGCTTATTTTTTTAATTTTCTCTTTTATTCTGAGTGTTGTAATGTATTATCTTTTTGAAAATCACAAAATTGATAGCTTATTACTATAAATTTTTAAAAAGGTTGTGGTGGAACTATTACAAGTCCTAGAGGAACTCTTGCATCACCTAATTATCCTCAACCTTATGGACGTGAGGCTGATTGTAAATGGATAATTAAAGTTGCTGAAGCATCAAAAATAGAAATAAGAATTATAGATCTGGATATTGAAGAACATCATCAATGTACAAATGATTTTCTGCAGGTAAAATAGATTTGATATTAGATTTTTATTGCTAGATGTGTGATATATGTTTTGTGTGTTTAAAGAAATTTTAATCATGCATTTATAATAAATTATGAACTTTGACTGCTTTGTTGGAGATTACAATTACATACACAATATCAACTAGCTATCATCATAGATCACACTTCCTAGTACTTTTAGATTACTGTATAATACTCATCAGAGGACTCATTAAGTTCTAAGAACAAAAATTTTTTAGGGCTTTGTGTTATCTGTTTTGAATGGCACTGTATATTCTAAAAACAGATGATTTGGTCCTACGGTTGATATTTACACTTTCTCCTGGAAAATGTCAGTCATCAAAATTTACTTTTTGCTACTCTCTCTCTCCAATATCTACCTTCATGCAGCCAATAACAAGTCAGCATCTCTGCTATTGATTACTTTTCTCTCCTGAAACTCTCTTCGTTGATCCATAAAGTTTCTGCATAATTCTGTATAACTAAAATGAAAATTTTAGTTATACAAAGAATTCTATTGCTATTGTAATTCATAATTCACTGTAGCATTTTCTGGATATGCTTATTGGCTCAAAGTTGTTGTACCCTTCCTATCTTAATATCTTTCTTAGGTTCTTATAACTTGGTTCTTACTGACCAGTGGCATTTTCATATACTTTCTTTCTGTTAGGGAAATCATATTAAATTCTGATTTTATTGCAACCCTCTCTTTTTATTTTATATTTTGTTATTTCTCAAAAGATTGATCATTCAGAATTCCTCTTAATTTTCTTTTCTCCAATCACTCTATCTAGCTTACAATAAAGGTTTCTATCCAAATTATCTATGTAATGTATAGCTATTATCCTACCATTTTCTCCTTTAGGAAGCTCTTTATGTTATCTTCCTTGTTCTTTCAGCATTCATATAATTAGTAATTTAGTCTTCATTATACTTTGACTGATGACAGTTGATTGATATTATGTATTTAATCTTTAATAAAGCAGTTTGACTTTCATAATTTGAACAAATTGGAATTTGGTCATGTAAGTGTTATTCAGAATAAATTAATAATTATTTTACATTTTGTTATTTTTACATTAGTTGGCTAGTAAATAATGATTTAATGATATTTTTAAAAATCTGTACTAAGAGATTTTTTTTCAAAATTATTGTATGACATTATTTTGTTAAAGAAGTATTGTTACTCAATGTATTATTTTAAGTTAATTTTTTTATTTTTATGAATAAGTTATGTTATATATTTATATGTTGTCTCTAGATTTACAATAATGAAAAAATTAATTTTATCTGTGTAACTTTACTGATTTTCAGTGTTGTTGATTTACAGTAGTCTTATGTGTATATGTTCTTTTTTATAATTTGTAGTCTTATTAAATGTACTTAATAAGACTAAGTACATTTTCATGCTTAAAGATTTTGTATAATTATTATTTTTTCCCATGGAATTATTTTACTATATAAAATGAAGTTTTTCACATAAACATAAGATGTAAAATTTACATATTTTCATTTTTACATTACATTTCTTCTATATCAAAAGTTTCTTATTTACATTTATTGAGGCAGAGTGTTAGCAAAGCTTCTTCTATGCTTGTGGCTTACAGAATTGTGTTTGTTCTCAAAATTCGATTAATAGATTTTGACTAAACTTTGCCATTTTCTATTAATTGCAATGAAGAATTCAAAAATGTAATAAAAAATGAGAGAACATCATTTCATTTTTAAGATGCAAGATCATTGCACAAGTGCATGCATAAAAAGCAACATTGTGCAGATTGCATGATATCCCTAGATCTCTAGTACATCTTCTACATAGCTTATGGAAGTGAGTTTATTCTCAAAATTTGATGACCAGTTTTGATAAAACATTGCCATTTTCCATTAATTGCAACAATAAATCCAAAAATGTAATAAAAAATGGAGGTCCATGACTTTATTTTTGAGATAAAGTGGGATCAAAGTGATAATGTCTCTTCTTCCTGACATGATTAAGTGTGCCTTATGGAATTTAGGGGCAAAAATAAAAAAACTACTGCATTGCTTGCACCTAATGGAAAATGGGGACGAAAAATGAACAAAACAAAAGAACAAAGTAATTCATGCCAATTTCTTTGTTCTTGGATTGGCTCTCTCTATTGGCAAGTGCAAAGATATTCTCTTCTGTGTCCAGCAAGTTTAAGAGCATCTCTTTCTTTTTAGCTCAGCCTCAATTCTATCAAAATGCGACAGTCATACAATATCCTAGTTATAATCTGTAACATCATATGAACTAATTTATGCTTACCATTACAAATGTCTTCAGTTTTGTTCACAGACATTCTTCAGGTGAAAGAAGAAGAAAGAATTATAATTCTATTGAGATTCTATATATTCTAAGTAATTCGAATATCCTGTTCTCTATATATTCAAATATCTTGTTCTATAGTATATAAAGTTTTAGCTTCTGTGATGCTTCTGTAATATTATATCTAAAATTTTGGTATTTTCATTTATTAAGATTTTTTTCATAATAATTCATAATAAATAATTTTTCAGTTGCTATAATTGCTATATTTATAGTTTTTACTTAAAAAATAATTGTTTTTAAAAATTATTCAAATGAGAAATAGCTTTTATGAAATTGTCTCAAAACTGGTATCATTTTGTAAACTATATAAATGAAACATTACTATAACCAGTAACATTTCAACCTACTTTGTCTTCTTCCCACATATATACAGAACACCTATATATATGTTTTGGCATTTTGGCAGCCCAACAGAGCAACATCCGTCAAAATTTTAATTTTAATGGGATTACAGTAGAGCATTGATTATCCGAATATCAATCAACTGAAACATTGGTTAACCGAAAGCATTCCAGTCGGCAAATTTAAATTTCCATTAGAGCTGTGGTGCTGCAATCTTTGGCTATGTCTTGGGCTACTCCAATATTATTTTTGTTGGTGTGCGTGTTTTAGCTGGCAGCACTGGCGCGACCATGAGAGGGTACTTAAGGACACCAGGATTTGAACGAATTTCAACATGGGATAGGTTAATATATTTTTCTATACATAACCGGTTATCCAAAAAATCGATTATCTGAACAACCCCAGTCCCCAATTTATTCAGATAAATGCTCTATTGTATTTCAACTAACAAAAATTTCATGACCTATTGGATTAAAGTATTGATAATATTCTTGCTATTGTTTTTACCAATGGATTTCAAATATTCTTTCATTCTCTTACTTAATGATCTAAATGTAGAACCAACATAATAAAACTGTACTTATTGTTTCATGATTTTTACCATGTGTACCATATTTTACATAGTACTTTTATTTTAACCTTATTTAATCTTAAAATCTGTATGACAGTAAATCTATTTCGATATGTCCTTTATGATAGGTTACAGGAATTGAAAAAGTGCTAGGAAGAGTGAAAATATAAAGTCTGAAAAAGCAATTTCAGAAAAAATTGATACTGGATTCAGTTTTTTTAACTTTCTCTATCCTGTGGGCACTAAGAGGTCTCTTTTAGCAGGCCTACAATGGAATGTCTGGGTGGTGAGGGATAGGGCACGATGTATATGAATAGACCACTACCTAAAAAATTCCTGGGGATTTTTTGACCTGTCTGGATTAAATTCTGGCTTCTAGACAGTACTTACTATTAGCGAGCGACTATTATTTCTATTTTTTGGGAATTTGGTGCAATTATTATTTGAGTGACTGTTAATGGAATAAATTCAGTAACTTTTTCACTTTATTATAATTTAATTAAGCAACAATGTAACATTCAACACACACTTTATTTCAATATGTGATATGAGTACCAATGCTGACTAAACTATATACTTACTATTAGATGGTGCTGTCTATAACAATTTCATTTTTTCAGCTGCATAGGTTATTAGAGGGCACTCTTTATTAAAATAAATATAGTATTTTAATTTTAATTTTCATTCTTGGAATTTTTCTAATATTTTTAATTTCTCTAATTGTGTTTTATCTAATACTTTTTTATTTTTATTGAATTTATAATATGTTCCTTTTTGTTTTTGTTGTTTTTTTATGATTAAATTATATTCTTTTTTAAATTTATTTGCTTCTTGACACTAAATTATATTTTGTATGATATTATATTAATTAATTATATTTTTCCAGTCTTTCAAATATTTAGAGTACTGTATATCTTATTTAGGATATCATATCATAGGAATGTTATATATAGTTAAGTTGAAGCTTTTGAAAGATTTCATAAATTTTAGAAAAAATATATTTAAAAATTGAACAAACAATATTTTTGTTTTGTATTGTATAAAAAACTACAATACATACAGCTTACTAATAACAATAAAAATAATAGTTTTTTTAGTAATTTTGGTCTACTTATAGATATTTGATGGAGATTCAGAAGGAGCAACTTCTTTGTATAAGATTTGCAATGGAGTTGATTATCCTCATATAATTCTTTCTTCAAAAAATAAATTATATATAAAATTTCGTACAGATGTATCAGAAAGTGGACGTGGTTTTAAGTTTGATTATAAAACAAGTAAGAAAAATTTTTAGCATTTATATTTAATCTTATATTTAATATAATAATGGTGACTGATTTTATTTAAATTTTTAAAAAATGTTAAAAATAAAATCATATAAATTTTTCAGGCATGAGAAAATAGACTTATATATAGAAAATAGTATCTGTCATAATTAAAATAAAGATATGACAGTAAAATTGTTGGAAAATAATTTAAAAGAATTATTAACTTTATATATATATATATATATACACTATATATACACAAAAAGATTTAAAATTTGAATAATAAAATAATATAAAATAAAATCAAATGTAATACTTTTTTAAAATGTATTTTACTAATAGCAATGGAAATAATATCTTTTGGGAATGTTGGTGTAATTATATGTATTTGGTGGAGACTCAGAAGGAGCAACTTCTTTGTATAAGTTTTGCAACAGAATTGATTATCCTTATACAATTGTTTCTGTAACAGAAATATAAAAAAATGTATAAAAAAATTTGTTATCAAGAAACTAAGTATTGTTAGAGTCATGCAAAATGGTGTAGACTGACAAAGGAAACATGTTTCAATAACTATGGGACAATATGATCAACAAAATAATTTATTTTGCCTAAAATGTACAGTTTTTTATTTTAGATTCCAACTCCACGGTATTATAAAATAAAATACAGTAATACAGCGCAAACAACATATACTGTTTGTGACAATATAAATAAAAATCGAAAACTATAACTAAAACTTGTGTACTAACTTAAAACTAGAGATAGAAAAAATAGTAGGGAATGGAGGAGATAGGAAATAGAACATAAAAAAGATTGGAATACTTGGGGTTTTCTTTCTTGCTGAACTCTACAATCTCTGGGTGGGATACCACGTTGAACTCTTTTGGAAGGTCTCTCATTGTCATGTTCATTGAAGTTGTTCTTGCACTTAATTGCCACACGATTATTGTAACCACGATAATACCCGATCCTTTCATCAAAGTCTCTTGCACTTTCCAGCTGTTGCCAAATGTGACCTGGAACACCACCACTCACGTCTGTCCACCTCGAAGTCTGGGCAAAGAACCAGCCTCTTTTTTCTCCTCTTTCACCAGCCTCAGAGCTTCATTCATCTCTGTGTTCTCTGTGGTTCCCAGAATTGGTAATCCCACCCCAAGGGAAAAGGGTTATAAAGGAAAGTTATAGAAGGAAAAGGAAACAAAGAACAAAGAAAACTAAAACTAACTTAAATCAATATTTACAATAAATATGGCATACAGCCACATGCATATACTGATAAAAAAAAAGATAAATGGCTATTTTTACTTTACTAAATTTGAACATTTTAAAAAGACATAAAATAAATTGAATAAGAACCTAAAAAATATTAAGAACATTGATTTATTTCTAATATTTTGAATCCAAAAATAATAAATACCAAAAAATAGACAGTTTTTTAATAAAGTATAGAACATGTAGTACATATTTTAAAAAATATAAGAATGTTAATGCTAGAATACAGGTGGCTGGATGGTTGAAGCAGTGTATTTCCACAAATGTGTGTGTTTTCAGTAACTAAATTTACCCGTCCTTAGGCTCCAAATTCAAAATGAAACTGAAAGTCTAGAACAGTGTTTTTCAACCTGTGGGTCGCAACCCCCAGGTGGGTTGCAAAGCCATACACGGGGGGTCGCGGGTAAAAGAAAAAGACAAGTGTTTGTAGGTCCTACACTACAATATAAAAAACTACAATTTCAGTGAGAAGGCTGTGCCTGTTTATTTTACAGTACAATTAGTTTTTTGATCGATAATTAAATCTCAACAGAAAGAAAATTAAATTCATACCGGTAGTTTTTAAAATCACTGACATAGTTTTAATATGGCCCTGGGGGGGGTCGGCAGAATTTTTTAACTTGTAAAGGGGTCGCTTATTCAAGAAGGTTGAAAAACACTGGTCTAGAACATCAGTTATCTATTCAAAATTAAATTATGGTAATAATTTTACTGAAACTTTGCTGAAAATGAGTAAGAATAGAAATATTTTCTGGACATTAAAGCTTGTTTCATAATTTTATTCCATCTAATTATTGAAATGTTTTAAAATTAATTGATAAAATTACTATTTAATTTATTTGTATGTTATGTTTTCTAAATACTTTCAACTTTGTTTCATCTAATAAATGTCATATATTTGTATAATAATGCTTTTTATTTTTATTTTGATAGATAACATCAATAATCTTTTTCAAAAATTAAAAAAAAAAAATATATTAAATTAAAGAAATCACATTATCAGCTCATACTAATGGTGGCTCTTGAAGCATGTCTAGTTGGTTATACCTAATATATAATCTAAAAGTTAAGTTAAAAAACGTAATTAGAAAAAGAGTAAATTAGATAGACGAGTATCAAAATTTAAATCCTAATAGTGTGATATAATGAACTTAAATCTTTAGCAGATTTAATAATTTAATACTTGTTATTCCAAAAGTCAGAATTTTTTAAAAATAAATATTTAAAAATTTTTTACAATTTTATTAATGAAATATTTTTATTATCAAAAAATGTAGACTACTGCTAAAACAATAGTTCTTTTTTTTTAGATTGCCACAATACATTAACAGGACATAGAGGAGTAATTGAAAGTCCTAATTTTCCAAGTCCTTATCCTCATAATTATAACTGTAGTTGGACAATTGAAGCCCCACTAGGAAATAATGTTTCTATTGCTTTTTCACATTTAATATTAGAATCACATACTGATTGTCATTTTGACTATGTAGAGGTAAGATTGATAACTCTCTATAATAATTTTTAGACTGTTTATTATAGCCTGTAATCAAAAATATTTATGTTAAATTTAATTTCAAATATAGTTTGAAAATATTAGCTTTCTCTAAATGTTTTGTCTAAATGTTTTAATGTGTAAGGAACATAATTTAAATATAAAGTGCAAAAAATAATTTGGAAGTATCAATATAATAATAAATTAAGAAAGAGTATTTAAAAGTATAATAATATATATAAAAAGTAAAGTTGTAAAGATGTAAGACATAAAATTTTAAAGTAAACTAGCCAATATAGTTGAGTAATAAAGCAAATAATACATCTTTAACAGTGTTTGACTGAGGATAGGCAAATAATTTTGAATTAGTTAATGGTTTGTCTTCAGACAAAGTAGAATGGAAGAGGAATGCAGGATAGGAAAGTTAAGATATTTGAGATATCGTAAACAATCAAGGGGAGGTAGAGTATAATGGTGAAAGATGTAAAAGATTAAGGAGAAACTACCAGATAAGGAAGACGATTCCCAAACTGTTACTCACTGTTAAATATATGCTTTGTTTGCTTTATTAAATTTATATGTGTTCCTTACAAATTCAAAATCAATGTCATTTTCTGTTTAACACGTGTTTATGTCACAAAGACTTACAAGATTTTTCAAAACAGTTTTATCTTATCTATTATTCATGTTACATATTTTGGCAATTTACATAATCTTTTTCAGACTATAACAAATAAATATGCAAATACAATAATTACAATAAACCTTAATAAATATACATATTGTTAATAAATTTTATAAGAAAATTACTGCGTATTGCTAACATGCTATAATTTCTATAATACTGTGAAAGTTCACACGAAATTAAAATTACCACAAAGGCAGACAGGATATGGTAAAAATAATAAATGATATGTTTTTACAAATAAACAATTTCGTGTATATATACAGATTTTTCATTTGGGAATTTCAACTTCACGATACATTACAATCATATGCGAATTTACTGCTAGGACAATAGTTCGTTAGATCAAAATGTGCGGTACTGATCCCGATCGGTATAATATGAAGCCTGACCTTAAAACTAATCTTATACACTAACTTAACAATAATGGAAGAAAAGGATAGAAACAAGAGGACGAAGGAAGAATATATATAATAGAAACAGAAATACCCGGGATTTTGTTAGCGTATTTGCACTGTGTGTGCTATTGGGTGGGATACTACATGATAATATCCAAAAATTTGACTCGTTTTCTTCTTATTCTATACTTAAGTTTGTTTTTTTTTCACTTTTGTCAATTCTCCCTTAAAACAGGAACCTTTCTCTTAATGTACTTCCGAGATCTCCGGTCGTTACTAATGTGACCCAGAGCGTTCTCTCTTCTCATCTGTACACTTTGCAGTTCCGCAAGAGAAGGCTTTGTCCCTTGTTTGTTTGTCCTCAGGGTCCTGCTCACTTCTTTGTTCCTCCATTTCTCAGAACTGGTCATCCCACCCAAGGGACAGGGATTAAGATAAGAAAGTTCTAGAAGGAAATAGAACAATAGGACAAAGGGTAGAAAGAAAAGACTAAACTAAATTTAAATTAATATGTACAAAAATATAGCGTACAGTTACAATACCACATTATACTAAAATTCTAAAACCATTTTTGAACCAAAATCTCCTATTTTTTGAAACTATCTATACTATGCAGTCTAATAAAAACATTCCAAATAGGGATATCCCAATACTGTCAATACTGATACCATATCGCTACATTTCTTCGATACTGATTCGATTCTTCAATATTGTACTTAATACATTTGGTCCAATACTGACACCGGTATTGATACTTTTTCTCATGTATCAGATCTGGTATTGCTACATTTTTCACAAGCAACTAAAGTCTGTCTGAAACTGGATTTTGCAGCTGAATCAGAAACTGAAATAGAATTATACACTATTTTCGGTTAAGTTAGACTTATATAAAACATATTAATGACCAAAAATTAATAAATGAATTAGGTCAAATTTTATTTCCAGAATGTACATATGCTAATTCTGTTACTTATTTCTTTATTTGTACACCAATTGATTTTGGTACATATATTCTTATATATTCTATTCCAAATTTCAATTGTCTAGAACTTCAGCAATCCAAGTAACTATGCTAGCATTTGACACATTGTTTATTATTCTTTCTCTAATATAAATTCATTTTGAATCACACTGTCTTAGTGATTCCACCTCAGTATTACATCTAAAAATAATAGAATACTTTTAAAAAATAAAGATAAATACAATTCTGGTTCTTCTAAAGTAAAAATGTGATTGCTCACAATTATTCATGTAACAAATGCATTCTCAAGTGATGTTTTAAAGAGTTTACATTCACCTATTAGTGGGATACGTCTAATGACTACAGTATATTTTAACTATATATTGGTGGGATACTTCTGATATTTATTGTATTTGTATAGTCATATATACAACTAACACATCTATCAAGTGGTATTCAAAGGCTTTGACAATTAACCTCTGGTGAAATACTTCTGATGACTATAGGACTTATAATCAGACATATATTTAACATATCCACAAGAATTTTCAACAGTATTAATATTTAACTGCTGGTAATGGCTATATTACAATATATATGCTATTATAATAAATATGCTTAATAAAAATCATTAAGTAATAATTAATACACTTTGTTCTGATTAGTATTTATAAATAAATATTTCATTAAATATTATGCAGTACTTTTGTTTGTTAATCAACTTGGACCACCAGTGATGTTTAAAATGAGCTACAATTTGTATATACTTGTTTGAACTGACATTTGTAAAATTTGAATACAATAAAGAACTTTCAATGTAAAGACATTGTTTTACCTCTTCTTCAACAATTTCTTATCCACCCCTATCTCAATAGTACCCACAGAACCCATTAACAGGAATGTACATCTGGGACTTCTTTTGTGTACTGTACATAAGATATCATATGAGTGTAAACTGAAGTACTGACTGACGTGCTGACTCCTGAAGCAGGTAGCTGGAATTCAATTCCCCAGGTAAGCAATAAAGTATTAATTTCTGCTCTGGGTCAACTTAGCCTTCATTCTAATGAGAACAGTACTTTCTCAGCAGTAAAAACAACTGGAAGGCAATGCAACAGACTGAACAGCAACAGCTGGCAAGATTTTATGTTTTTATACCCTCAGCCAATACTGTCTGGTATTGATACTTTAAGATTGATACTGATCTGATACTGGTATTGACACTTTAAAACTACTCATGATGCTGGTATTGATACTTTTGTGGTATCAGGACATCCGTAATCCCGAAACCTGATATTTTAGTAATATGCCAAACAACTGCCAGATTAAAGTGGCAAGAGTAGCCTGATTTAATCCAGAAGTCATTTGGCATATTTCTATGCAGTCTTTTCTGTGTAAAACGTTTTGGTCCAATACAACAGCTTAAGGTGATTATACATTTATTTGGGAGTGTTTTTATTTATGTATTTAATATATTTATCTAAAACCTATTAACATTTACACAATTAATAGATACAATACATATGATACAAATCTGTTATTAAGGTAATTTATATACATGTATTCAAGATATTTTTGTTTAAATACTTTTTTCCCCTCTTTCACAATAATTTTTACTGATTTTTCAAATTTGTTAAGGAAGATTTGTTCATATTTAGGAATAAGTTGGTGTTCTTATTTAATTTGATTTTAAGTTAAGAAAATTTATTTTAAAATAAAATTTAAAATATTATGAATTCAATTTTTCATTAAAATTTTTGAAAAAGTTAATTAAAAAATTTTGCTTGTGAATTTTGTAAATAGGTAAAGTTTCTTTTAACATTAATTTTAATTCTATGAAAGAAATTGTGAAATAAAGATTATTTTACAAAGTAACAAACTAATTGTTATATTTTTTTGAGTGCACAGATTTATTTATGGTTTAACAGATAAGATTGTTATAAACAATATGTAAATGGAAAATATATAAAATTATAAGTGTTTTTCAATGATCTTTGTATAAAAAGACTAGACAATAGACTAACAATGTTAATATTCAACTACATTAAAATTCAATTTATGAAGGTGAATCAGAAAATAAAGGCAATTTCCTTATAACAACTGTATTTCCACTGATGGAGAACAAATGCACATGTCACTTTTCTACATAGTCCCCCTGCACAGCAATGCACTTCTGGTATCAATCAATGAGCTTCTTAATTTCTTCTAAAAAGAAGCTTTTTAGTTACTCATTAAGCCACATCTGCACTGCTTGCTGAACCTCACAGTCTGAGCTGAACCTGCAATCACATAATGTCTCCTTCAAGAGGTTGAAGACATGGTAATCACATGGTACTAGATTGGGACTATAAGGAGGACGCAGAAGCAATTCAAATTCAAACTGTTGTGCAGTCTGTACCATTTGTGTTGCTGTATGTGGTTGTCATTGTTGTGGAGCAGTAGCACTTCTTTGGACCAGCAGTCTGTGTCATTTTTGATGAATTGGTCTTGCAGCAAAGCACAAGACCAATACATTGCACTGTTTACAGTTTCATCATATACCTGGAATGCCATCAGAATATTAGAGAGCATTAGCTTTAGTTTTTTGCAGGATGGTTGTTTGAATTTCTTGCAAACAGGGTAGGACAGATGTTTCTACTCCATGTTTTGCCTCTTGCTCGCCAGTTTTTATTGGTGTACCCATATCTCATCACCTGTCATTTGTTCCAAGGTACTGGGATCTTCATAGCATTGGAGAAACCAAGTTGCAAAATCTACATGCTGCTGCCTATGCTGAGTTGTAAGATGTTTGGGCCCTGCTGTACACAAACTTTATGGTATACCAAGTCATCTTGCACTATGGCTTGTACAGATTCATAATATGTCCATGATTTTTGTTATTTTTGCTAACATTGGTTGTCAGTCTTCTATGATCAAGGAATTTGCCTTCTGTAAGTGTTGCTTCATGTGTGATATTGATGGGTGATCATGTTGGCTTTCATCCATCACACTTATTCTTCTCTTTTTAAAGTGTGCCTTATCCACTCATAGATGCATGTTGTGTGCGCAATACTGTGCCAACATCCAGTGATGGATTTCTTCAGGTTTAACTCCCTCTGCTCACAGAATGGCATGTTGTTCCTCAATGGTGCAATCACTTAGTGGAACATCCATACTTCCAACATCGTTGCTTGCTGCAATTTGACTAAATGATGGAATGCTGGGTGGGACTAGCTACCCTTCAGCCCATGTGCAGACATGGTGTTGCATGTCAGTGTCAATTTCTTATATTTACTGAGTACTTTCAAAATTGACTTTACTTTTTGATTCACCCTTGTATTTACTCCTTTTATTTTTAATGTATTAAGGATATTTAAAATAAAAAGTTTACTATAAATAATTTCAGTCAGTATTTTTAAATTAATTAATCATTTAAAATTAATCATTTTAAAAACTTTTTTCAATTATTTTTTGTTTAGATTTTAGAAAAATTGCGTGATGATACTGAGGTACAAATTCAGAAATACTGTGGATTATTTACGACTTTACCTTCATTAACATCATCATCACATATAGCTATTGTACGATTTAAAAGTGATCATAGTATTTCTTATGATGGATTTCGACTAGAGTGGAAAGTTGAAGGTAATATAAAATATACAGTAAATCTTCAATTAAACAGAATTCAGATCTAACAGACAAAAAATTTGTCTTGTAGGAAAAATTAAAAACCCTTTTTTGTTTGCAAATAGTGCATGCTAAAAAGATTTGAAGGAGTCAATGAGTATAAATTACTCAATAAACATTATCATATTATTTTATTTATATTTATACATCATAATATGTTGTAACTTATCTTGCACATTTTAAGTTCATTATAAATACATCTTTTTAAAAACATATTGAATTAAACAGACTTTTGGTAATAATATATATTCTTTTCCCCAATTAGTTTCTTAAATTGAGTGTTTACTGTATTAGTATTTGTAATTTTTTATTTAATATTTAAAACAAATTATAATATGTATTCAAATAAATATATCTTTCTTTTTAAATCTAATTCTATAATTGAAGTGTACATATTTTTAAAATTCTGATGATGCTTTTCTTGCAATTAAACCATAAGAAGAAAGTTTCCTTTGTATAATTTATTGCTTAATGGAAAAGTAATTGTATATCCTTTTGTATTGTGTTCTTTGTAATTATAAAGATTGGAAGCATGATTAAATCAGTAGTGGAAAATTACTAGTATAGTATGTGGAGAAAAAAATTGCAACAAATTCAATGCATCTTTACATGTTTATTTATAAATTAAATCACAAAATTCATTCAAAACCATAAACTACAAGTTTGACAATTGTGATTAGTTATATACAGTAGAGCGTCGTTTATCTGAATCAATTGGGGACTGGGGTTGTTCGGAAAATCGATATTTTGGATAACCGATTATGTACGAAAAATATATTAATCTATCCTATGTTGAAATTTTTCTCCGTTGCGTGTTGCTTTGCATTGAATTTTTGTCGATGTTAAGCCTAATGTAAACTTTTTATAATAATAATCGTGACTATTGTATCGTTAAAAATTATTTCTTTATTTTGTACAAACAAAATAAATATATTGAAAAATATAAAAACAATAAAAACTTATACTTTAGAAGTTAATTTAGTATCAAAAATGTAAAATATTTGAGTAGCCCAAGACGTAGCCAAAGATTGCAGCACCACAGCACTGGCAAAAATTTAAAATTGCCGACTGGAATTCTTTCGGATAAACGACGCTCTACTGTATATATATACATACATACGTACTTATAGGCATATATATATATACATACTTTGCTTTACCTTGGCATGGATAGTATATTATGTATATATATAATATACCATCCATGCCAAGGTAAAGCAATGGCAGGCTACATAATGGATGATTACAGACCAAGGACTATAAAGTTGTCCCCAGTTGGTGCTGTAAGTGACTGTGGATGTTATATCTAAAATTAAATATGTCTGGAAAGGGAGGATTGGATGGAGGTCTGGGTAGCATAATTGGCAATGCATTTGCATAGTAAGTGGGAGTTGTGGATTCATGTCCCACACCAGGCTGATTCTTTTCTTTCAGAATATTTTAAATTATTTAATAAATATTAATTTAAATAAAATTATTAAATTTAATAAGAGATGACACTTAACACCTACCTCTAGTAATAAATTACTTAAAATTTAATTATTAATAGTAGTGAAAAATAGCTCAATACATTACAGTAATTGTTTGGCTTGTAGACCTTAGTGGGCACTGAAATACACCAGGTGTTAAAGTGGGGTAAGAGAAAGCAAATGAGGACCTCACATACAACACACCTCAAAAAAAAAAAAAAAACACTCGATTTTATGTCAGATTATGCTAGCGTACATGTGGACGTGGCCACGTTGACCATGAGATGATAACCAATTATACAAAGGTAATTAATATCCGATTATTACAAACGACTGGCCTGTTATTCACAAGTACAGATAATAAGAAAATTACAATCTATTACAAGGAGGAATCCAAATCGGTGGTCTGCCTGAGCAATATTTCTGCATAAGGCCATATCCTTGATGATCGATAACAATAGAGAGGTGATGACCACATGGAAAAAATGTTATTAACTTTGAATTAATGTATCACCAGTTACTAATAAGCGAAGTTCCTTTGTCTAAACTTCGAATTTACGTTCCTCGTATCTTAAATGCTCTGATGGAATTCGATTTCTTTCTTCTTCCAATACAATTAATCCCGACAGTCTATTGTTAGCAGATGGTGACCCTTATCTCCCTTCTTGTCCCTTGTCTTCTTTTGTTTTCTCTCGTGAAGGACAGTCCACAAAGGTCCCAAGGAAAATAAGGTGAATACCTGTTGTGGGGTCACTCCTTTTATATCCTCCTATGTTCGATTCTCCTGCCTCCCCTATCACGTGGCCACCTCAACAGCCAATCAGTAGTCCACTGACTACCGCCAAAAGGTGGCAAGTGACTGGAAGGAAAAATGACAACGACGCGTTACAAAAATAGTAAAACTCGACACAAATAAATAATAAAATACAGCAATAATAAAGAAAAAAAATAAGTTACAATATAAAACAAGTGCCTAACACTACAGGTTCTGATTAATAACATCGGGTTTTGAGATGTTTGTGTATGTCTGACTGTTTCTATAACAATTACAAATTTTTCTCCTTTAAACAAAAGGAATGAAAATTACTAACCGTATAAATCTTGGCTAGTCTCTTCAAGAGGAATTAATAGTTGAATTGATAAAATAAACAGATTCATAAAAGAAAGCAGTAGTTTTATATTTGATTTTAATATTTGTTGTAATTTAGTTATTATAATAGCATATACTGTAAACAAATTTTTATAAAACAAATATGAATTTTAGGTTGTGGTGGTGAACTTACCAGGTGGTCAGATACTATTACAACTCCAAATTATCCTGCTTATTATCCTTTAAATATTTCATGCATATGGTATATATCTGTACCTATAGATAAAAGAATTTCAATCCAAATACAACACCTTGAGTTAGAAGGAGCACATGATTGCCTTTATGATTACCTAAAGGTAAAAAAATTTACTGTTTACCTTAATTAATAGAAATAATAATACTAATTATTTAAAAATTAATTGTTACAATGTGTAATTAAAAAAGCTATTAAATAGTTTTTAATGTACAGTCATACCCCGACTTACGTGAACCTGGAGTTACGCGATTTTCAAATCTCGTCGATTCGTCTTTTGTTTGAGCGCCATGCAACTCTTGATTACTCACTCCCTCCACACTATTGTTCAGCTTACATGTTCGGATGTGTCGCGTGGAATCCACACATAGCTACAATTTATTTTGTGTTATTTATTTCTGTGTTTGTTATATCTACGGAGACTCGAGAGACTCTACTATGTCATCCAAACGAAGTAGAACTAATTCTTCTGCATCAAACAAGAAAAGAAAAACTTTATCTTTGGAATGTAAAGTTAACATTGGGTATGTTCGTAAAGTCGAACGAGTTAAGCGAGAATGAAGTCATTGTTATTCCTATTTCGTTAGACTTTTTGAACGATTCATTACTAACGCGTTTAACTTGTTTGACTTTACAAACGTACCCATTATTAAAGACTTCGATACAAAAATGAAAATTTGTGAATTGACAAAGAAGTTTGATCTATCGGAATTGTCGGTCAGAACAATTATAAAAGGCAAAAAAAATTCTTGAAGCTTTGAAAAGTGCTCAATCTTTAAATTCAAGCATCATTTGTAAATATCACAGTATTATCACTGAGATGGAAACAATGTTAAAATTATGGCGTAATAATCAAGTAAATGTGAAAAATTGAAAAATAATATAGGCCTAATTTGTTATACATATGCATTATTTAAGATTTTATTAAACATTTTTTTCTAAATTATTGTTTTCTTTAGTCACTGGCCCCAATTAAAAATTATTTGTATGTATTTATATGCAAAATTATACCCCGACTTACGCGAATTCGACTTATGTGGTTACCGCTCGGTCCCACCTATCGCGTAAGTTCGGGGTATTACTGTATTCATCAGGAAAGCTTTTAGATTATATAATCCAAATTATTTTCAAAACAAAATATGATTTTTAAGTTTTTGTTCTGATAAAAGCATTTTATGGTGAATTGTGATTTCTTTAAAATCATACAATAGTATTTGGGACCTTAATTTAAAATAATTTATATAGTTCCACATTTAATTTACTAATAAACAAGTTTAATAAATTTTTAAATGTTATAATAATAAAAAAAATCTTAAAATATTTAATTTTGAAAATTTTTGAATTTTAGATATATGGTGGTAGTGATTTATCTGCACCACTCTTGTTACAACTATGTGATACTCAAAATAATAAAACCATTCATTCTCAAGGCAATCATATGACTTTACACTTTTCTAGTGATTATACTATTAATGGCAAAGGATTTATTGCCCATTATCAAGCAATTGATGGTGGTATGTATACGTATAAAACTTTACTCATTAGAATAAGTTCAATTTTTAAATTAATTTTAAATTTAATTATAAATTTTTAATAAGTGGAATATAATAGAAGTTTAGTGTTAAATGTAGAATTATAGTGTTATAATTAAAGGTTAAAAATATATTTAATAATAATAATATATGTTATGCTAATTCCTATAATTTTACATTATATTTTATTTTATATTCAACAAAATTAGAGTAATTATATAATTTGTAAAAACAATGCATAAAATAGTTGTCATAAAAATACATTATAATAAAAAATAAATAATATAAAACATTGAAATTTTTAAAAATCTTTGTCATAAGTTGATTTTCATATAGGCTTGACTATTTATCCAAAATAAAGTGTTTTATTATTATTATGGGTTTAGTGGGTTATATACTCAATTGACACCAGCTGCTGTGTATTATGCTGGACCAGAGTCAAGGCATAGCAACTATAACAAGACAAAAATTAAATAAATGTGTCATTGTATATGTCTGTATTCAGGAATTTCCTAACAATATGACATATATTCAATATAGTGGCCTTCTGTAGTGTGATGTATGTGTTTCTATACAATTGTAATGTTCCTAGGCTTTTGTGTAGTGTGTGGGATATGACACCTGTATAGGAGAGAACAACAGGTACAATAAGCAATCTATCCATCCTTCACAGATGTCTTATTTCCTGGGCAAGTTCTATGTACTTGCTGATTTTTTTATGTGCATGTGTTTTGTATATTGTGAGTGTTTGGAATGGATATGTTTATAATGTATGTGATTTGATTGTGTTTGTCAATGAGTGTGATGTCTGGTCTGTTGTAGTAAATTGTTTTATCTGTGATTATGGCTCTGTCATAGTACATTTTGTGCATGTTGTTTTCCAATACTGTCTAGGGAATGTATTTGTAGTACAGTTCATGGATATCTAATAATATGTGTTTGTTTGCAAGCTCTTCGTGTATTATATTTGCTACTTGATTATGTCTATGTAAATAATCTGTCTGTGTCAAGAGCATGCAACTAGAAGTGATGTGTTGTAAAGTTTCTGGCATGACGTGACATTTTCTACATGTGTCATTTGTAAGTGTTGTATCTTTGAGTATGTGTTTTCTGTAGTTTTTAGTATTTATGACCTGATCCTGTATGGCAATCATGGATCCTTCCATTTCCCCAAAGAGTCATCCCTGAGCTAGCCAGCTGTTTGATGCAGTTTTGTCAAAAAAAAATTCTGGACCAGGTTGTAGGGATGCCTGCCATGAAGTGCCTTTCGAGTTCACGATTGCTTAATAGTGTCTATATTTTTCATATGTTGTGCTGTTGAAGAATTAAGGGAGTTAGTAAATTCCAGAAGGGAGAAATAATGCAAAAATAATAAAAACACACAAAACAGACAATGGTGTACAGCCACAATGTTGATATCTAAAATATATAGGGCATACAAGGAAGGTATTACAATTAATTGTAAAGACAACAATACGTTGGCACAAGCATTAAAAACTTTACAAGAGGTCTGCCAATAATCTGCTGACAAAGACAACGTAGCCATAAATTCTATCCAATCAAGAGAAGATAATTGTAAAATTTAAAAAGCTTCTATTTTAGCAGTATCTTCTATTTTTGAATGTAACTTGACAATTATAATTTAAGATTATCAAAAATATTTGTTTGTCTCATTTAACTTAAATTTCATTTTAAAAAAACTTCTGGATTTTTAGTCTCATAATATAATAATTTGTGCTTATCCAGTTACATTGGAGTTAGTAGACTATATGGCTTTGCCATCCAAATAATACAAAACGTTTGTTACTTGAATCCACCAAACATTGGAAAAGCTTGATTTTCTAATGCATTTGTAAGTATGCCAATAAGAGGGGAAAAATTTTTACTCCCTCATTAGGGATGGCCTAGGGCCCTTGCATATGTGGGTGGTGATTTCAGGAGAAAACAAGTGCTAACACAGAACCATTTATTTAGTTGAAGGTTATGCTTACATAAATACTATAAATCCTAATACTATCTATTCTGTTGTTAGGATACTATAAATCCTAATAACAGAATAGAGTCTTGATGTTCCTGTTGGTGTGGATTCAGTTTGGTTGATGTTTTGGTTGGGCAGTCCTGGGACAGCAGTGAGTGGGTTGGAGGTCTGAGTTGATTGAGCTCAGGATTTAGAGAAGTCGATGGCACAGGATGTAGACACAGAAGGAAGCAACGGCCTCAGGGAATGTTTGCACAGAAGTTTTTGTCCTTTCACATGGTGGTTTTTATATTTCCTTTCTCCTATTATCTTCTTTTCATTAGTCAGGCTTTCCCTTCCTTGCTTCCCTATTAGTGTCTTACCTATATCCAGGTGGAATTCAAGACCAGCTCGCATCGCAAGAAAGATCTGTCCAGGATGGTTTATCCAACACCATCCTTTCGACTCTGATCAAAAGTTATCAATAACTAAAACACCTGCATTCATACTTTATCTTGTTATTTCCTTTTGTTGCATTTTAAAATTATAAACAACTCTCCATTTTTCTGTTTCTTTTGTTCACAGTTCTATCTCCTTTTCTTTATTGTATATGAGTGATGATATCAAAGTCCAGTCTCACTGGCTCGACACTTTGGTTATTTGTTTTCTTGTTGCATTAATAATTTATTAGAATTTATTTTAAATCCTTTTAAGTTTGAACTATTTTCGGGACCTCACAATTATCAAGTCTTGGGGTTTTATCTGTCTCCATCTTTAGGATTAAACTCACTATGGACTGTGCTGTGTTACTCCCACTGTCTGAAAAATTTTTGAAAACAAGAAAATATGCTTTAGTAGGCAGAATATTGAAAATGTGCTTTTGTATTTGAAATATGCATTTATAAATCTTGAATTTTAGGTTTGTAGGCTTTCTGAATACAGTTGTCCCTTGATAATCTGACAGGTATGGGACCAAAGGTGTGTCAGATTACCAAAAGTGTCCGGATTACCGAAAATAATTACATATTTCACATTGTTTTGCTAGCAGTAACTTACAATATTCTCTACTCCAACTGTTCGAACAGAACTGCTCACATAAAACACACGAAATGTGTGTCATCGAGTAAGAATTGGATGGGGAGATTCACATCGCGACATGCTTCTGTGCAAGCAGACACGTAACGGGGACGGGTACCTTGACGGGAGGTGCGTCGGACTACTGAGCATGTCGGATTAAAAAACGTCGGACTATAGAGGGACAACTGTATTCATTTTTCTATTTACTTTCAAGAATATTAACAAAAACTCAAATGTTTATTTGCAAAAAAATTTAAGCTCTGTTAATAATATAATCTAATACAGTATTGGCATTAGTAATAATAACTCTAAAGAGTTAAAATTTTATATAATTTTTTTTTTAGATTTTAAGATATGGAATAGTGAAATGATTTCAATTAGACATCTTAATTATATACTGTAGTTAGGTAAAAATTAGTTTGTAATTGGTGTAACATTAAAATAATGTAATTATTTGATAAATATATTCATTTTATGCATTGGTGTATGCTTTATATATATAGAATTTTTAATATATTCTATTTATTATACAAATAATATTTTATACAGAGTGACCAGCCACACCTAGGACCCTTTTAAAATGAAGAGAAGGGAGTTTCATCAAAAATTCAAAAAATTTTGATAAATAAATTAGGTATGCTCTATCAAACTGTGATAATTTCAACTTCCAGTATTTTCTGGTAATGGACTATCTAGGCCAAAAAATTAATTTTATTAAACTGACATGATATTTTTAAATTTAGAATAGGATTAAAATAAAAAAATAATACAAGTTTGTCTATAATATTTTTTCTGAAACACCTCCATCGACCATAAAATGATCTGGAAATTGTGATGCATGGAGAAAAATGACACTGTTAAAATATCTTATGTTACAAAATATTTTAATTAAAATTCCATTGATATAGGCAAAGTATAATAATCATATGTAATTGATGCTGAACTAACAAAAATTATTACTACTCCTACACAGTTATTCAAACCTCATTAATTTGAAGTTTAAAGAGGAAAAAAATTTCAACTTTGAGTTAGAGTTTCAAATTAACAAGTTTAATACCCAATTTTTTAAAAATTTTTCTGTGACTGTAAATTTCTCATTAATCCAATCGGCAATGTACTACACTGGGTTAAAGTAAATAAAAAACCAACGTACCAGGAACCTGTTTCCGGTGTGCTTCTTGGTAAAACAGAGCGTTACAAACGTTTTCGAACTTGTAAGTTCTTCTTCAGGTAACAGACGTCTAAGCGAATGCCATTCAAATTCAATTCAAAAAAGGACACCATTAAGAACTCTATCGCATGTATCGATGGCGTCATTGACACATGCGCCCCTTTGCTGGTTGTAAATTATTGTAAGTTCTTGTCTACGAGCACCTGCCATGCCGTTGACAGGTGATTTCGTCTTTGTTGTTAATACAATTGTCGTCTTTTAGTGTAGCCATACATATGTACAGGGCCTCTAGCCATCTAAGGTGGTGTGCGTATTTTGTGGTGCGGATTACCTTGGCCTGGGTGAATAACGGCTCTATTTCCGTATCTGAGGCATAGACAGCCAGAGCGGTGGTTTGCCTTGCATGTAGAATATCTGCCATGTGTTCTTTTATTCTCACCTCTAATGAGCGCTTAGTGGATCCTACTTAGATCAGGCTTCTGTTCCATCTATGGTCTATAATTGGGATGGTATATACCCCTGGGAGTCACTCTTTGTTGGTGGTATCTTTCCCGTTCTGTAAAATATCAAAAATTGTCGCGCATCTTCTATACGCAATGCGAACATTCTTTTTCTTCGCTATTGTGTTGTAAAGTGATTTCAGGTACGGATTGTATGTAACCGGGATGATACTAGATGGAACTTTGTTGGGTGCTTGGTTAAGGGCTACTTCTTGTCCGCGCCATTTGCGGATCAATTTACGTACAATCTTGGGATAACCATGTTTGTTGGCTATTTGTTCAATATGCCTTAGTTAGGCATATAGGGATATCCGATCAGACGAGTGTGAGTATGCCCTATTAATTAAACTAAGAAGCACACCGGAAACAGGTTCCTGGTACGTTGGTTTTTTATTTAATTTCTCATTATTAAGCCATTTCTCAAGAATCCATTCACAGAATGATTACAAAGTTGTATACAGTTTGTGATATTTTTGAGTGCATCTCAAGGCACCTTTTTATGCCCCAATCATAATGTCAATAACATACTATATCAGTAAAAAGATGTTGATGCACAACTGTAATGACATGGTGTTGTATTAAGAATGGAACCATAATGCTTGTTTATATTAATTATTTATATTCACATGGAATATAACAGAAAAGGGACCTATCAAAGGGTGGAATGTACTGTACACAGGAAAATGGGTTTGAGTAAAAATACCAACAATTTTGACTTAAGGAGACTGTATTATATGTAAAAGTCTATATACCATGCTAGGGACCTGTAAACAGCTTCAAGTTAATGTAGTTAAACTTAGCAAGGTTTTACTGTAATTTGTTTGTGTAAACTCTTTTGGTGTATTATATTTACATTTTAAGTGTTCAAATTGAGCACTGTTTTTACAAATGCAAGCATCTACTCTGTTTGAAAAAATTTGTTGCTCAAAGAATTTCATAGGGCATGGCTACATAGATCACTATGACATCTTTGATAGGTGTGCAACTAAAAATGAAAACTTATTTGAAATGAAAATGTAAACACAAAGTGTAATGCTTATGTTTGTTGACACTGAATATCAATTCATTAAATAAACAAAAATCCAGCACACACAAACTAAATAAATTCAAAAACAAAAATTACTTTCAGCAATCACATTCAGGTTTACATCAAATTAACAATATAGAACAACATATAGAATAAAATTTACAAATGTAAATTATGTAAAATATTGATCCAATTGATCATTGCCACATATATGGTAGAGTTTATTCACAAATCCAATAAAATTTTTCTTATATAACTTCAAACAATGATTTCCATTCTGATGATAATGTGTTGGCTTTTTTGTAGTTGACAGTCCCTTCTGATTTGTTGACTTTATGTCTCTTCATTCTCATTACTCATATAGGCTGCTACAACTGTTGTAGTAAACCCTTTTCTAACTTCTCATGTTTTTTCTTTTATATTAATATGACACTGAATATTTAACCAGCTGATAAATATTACAATGAAACAACTTGTAATAAGGTTTTGCCAAGAAGAGTTTATTCTCACTTTCAAAATCATTTTATGATCAATGAAGATGTTTTCAAAAAAAAATGTTTAAGACAAAATTGTTTTATTTTTTGAATTTAAACCAATTCTAAATTTAAAAATATGTTTGATTTAATAAAATTGACTTTCAACCTGAATAGCTCATTACCAGCCAATCTCAGAAGTTGCAAATATCACCATTCAATAGAGCATATTTCATTTACTCATAGAAATTTTTAGGACTTTTGATGAAATTTGCTTCCCTTCATTTTAAAAGGTGATGTACAGTACAAGTGGTCTGGGCCACCCTGTACAGAAGTAAC